TTACTGCTCAGGGTCCTTTAAATGTGGTTATTTTCCCCTTGAAACAATTCAGCATGGTGGGAAACCAGAGCCAACCATTTCTCCAGAGACAGGCTGGGTACATCAGAATCTACATTCCCTCAGGTCCCACTTGCATCAAGTCCACCTGAATGTCTTCCTGTGTCAATCCCCTAATGTAGTGTTGAGCCATGACAGTAAGATCTGATGAGGTACACAGGTTCCTTTCACACCAAAGACCCTCTATAAGTCAAGTCAATTGAGATCCTCTACTAAAGGTGAAAATTGTTTCCTTGAATATGCAGAAACTAAAAAATGCAGCCTGATAATGTCACTACAAGTTTCACAGAAACAGGCTGTAGCAATGCTACTCTCAGACAGAGAACAAGGCATTGTAACAGTATGCTCTTTGGAAAGCACTGAAAAAATGTACTTTTAACACTCCTAATTAGGCGGGAATTGCTGCAATTTTAGAAACACAGAAGTCCAAGTCACATACGACTGTTTCTGACTGGCTGCCACCACCACAACACAGCCCCAAGCAGAGTGGAAGCTTCAACTCTGTTGCTGAAAGCCAGCCTCTACAGCAGCACTGTTGAACTCGTCTAGACAAGAGCATCGGGAATTTTCGTTTGCTCTTCTACATCATAAAACCAGAAAGTCCTTATTTTGAAGTCCATTTCTTGTCAGTTTTCACAAAACCCAAAATGGGAGAGGCTTTCATAAAAGTGAAATTCAAGATTTAATCCAAGTTATTCATGTCCTGCAAATCTGTTTTGCACAGCAAGCACAAACTGATGAAAAGACCAGATTAGATATGCAATTGAGGACATTCCTAGCTGACGGATTTACCTTACGCAGTTCTGTAACCCAGAGTCTGCACGAAGAGCTGTGCTAGTTAACAATTTAAAATGGAAGGTTTGTAAGTTTTTCCTATTTACTGCATCCCAGATGAAACAATGGACTTAGCAAGCAGGTGAAATTTTTCTTGTTGAATATGAAGCTTACTGTCTCGAGGATGCCGACAAGTGCCTTAGGATACGCTGCATCTAATAGGAAACACCACCCATTTTCAGCTTGGAAACCAGGGCAGAAGCCAGAGACATGCCTAGTAAATACATTGGGCTACTTGAGACAGTAAGGAGGTAACTGAACACAGTGGAAATTGTGTATTTTAGTATCACACATCAGGATTAAGCTGGAAGCAAAGGGCTTATTTACACACTTGTACATGCTTATGTAAATTGTAGATGGTTACTAACAAAGGTCAACAGATGGAGTTGTAAACACAACAGCTTCACATTAAATACTCACAAGAACACTGTTCTTCCACACTACAGTTGTGATGCTTCAGATCTACTTCTGTTTCATTTACACACAGGTAACCTGTCAGAAGAGACAAGAGTATTTACAACAGGAGAACTTAATAGTGTTTGAGACATTGTTCCTAAATACTAGTCAACTGTTCATAGGACAAACTAAACACCATCTTCTAGCCAGGATAACGTTAAAGCCACTTCAACATGCAGGACTTCAGTATTGCATTAAGAATTAGAAGTTACAAAAGTTTTAGTAGTTCCTTTCACCACAGTTACTCTACCACTCAAATCAATAATGAAGCAATACTTAAACCTGGCTACGCACCATGTGCACTAACAGTATCTCTTGGTATTTTTTCTTCATCGTCTATAAAATTAGACAGTGTTTCTACTATTTGTGGCATTTTTCAAGTTAAAGATTGTGCATCTCTACAGTAGTATCATGAAAAAAATCTTAACATCTTACTATCTGAAAAAAATCTACATGGAAACAAAACTTAGTTCCAGCTTTTCAAACAGGTTCTTGACCTTGAAACTGTTAAAGCATCGGTTTCTTGTTCTCTGCCTGAACACCCTTCTCCCTTGACTCAGGTCTCAACCTCTCCCTCAAAGGAGTTACAGACCTCTTGGGTGTTTGCAGCATATGCCTGTTGGTCAGACAACACATGCAGAATTCAGAAAAAGAGCTTCTTGAAGAACACTCTTGTACTGGACAAGTTACATGCAAAATTCTTTTCATTAGTTCTGGAGCATCTCAGCCTTAACATATAATCTTTGCCATCTACAATCAAGTGTTAGAAAATCATTGCTACATTCAAGCTATTCTCCCTCTTATTGTGCTTCCACTTCACTTCAGAAGTACAAACAATCCACCCGAGGGCTACTTACGTAGTCTTTGTATGACCTGGTGAACAGCAACTACATCTCCTCCAGGACTGAGTACCCAGGTCACCTAAGTGTATTTACATCCAACTGCCCCAGAGTGGGAAAAACAAAGCTCTGAATGAAACCAGCTAATGCTTCTTTGGCTCTGTTATGTTCCCTTCAAGGAGCTGCAACTCATAGTTTTGGGAATGCTAATCTCAACTAATCTTATTTAATGGACTCCTCTCCCTTATTGCACTTCAGTTCAGGACTAGTAGTTATGACCAGGCCTATGCCAGAGACTCAAAAGGGACTGAAGCACAGGGATGTGCCTGTATGTCAGAATCCACTCATGACTCCTTCACAGCAAACACAAGTGACTGGTTTGTTCTAAAAACATTCTGAACCATCTGGAAAACATTAGCTTAGCACAGATTTAAATCAGAAGCCTTAAAAATCTGGGATTATTTTGAACATGTTCAGCTGTCTCCACACAAGAACTTGAAATGTTTAACAACAGATACTTGTGAGTTAATGCTCCATTAGGTTATCAAACAGAACAGTTATCTGTGTAATGAACACGAATACAGATCAAGTAGGTCTGGTTGGGTTTACCCTTCCTGTGCCATGCAGAAGTACATGCACTGTGTAGTTGTCCTTACCTTCACATTTCATCCACTTGCAGCCTGTCACATTTGTGTCGTTACCAATGCACGAACTGCAGTTAGAAAAGTTTTCACAGATGCCTAAAAAACAGAAACCAAACACAAAAGAAATGCATTCATTAGGACAAAACTACCATTGTCAAAAGCGCAACCTCACCCACAGAAACGACTTAGACCTGCACCTTCCCATGCATACATCTCCCAGGTTAAAGCACAGTCCTTCTCACTGAACTAAACACAGCTGAAAGCTACAATTTAGGAATGCGCTTGACAAGACAGACATTTCACTACAGACACTACTGATACTCCAAAAGGAAACACCACATGTACACCAAGATTTTGCCTCATGCAACCTCTAACTATAGTCAACTCCAATCACAGACACTATGCTACTCTAGTGAAGTTAAATTCCACCCAATTAATTTTGCAGAAGTTCACTGAAACCTGACGTGCTAAGAGTTTGTTCCTTTTGATCACGTATTTCCTTTAGCCAGCTATAAACAATCCCAGAGTAGAATGCAACCAGAGTATGGGAAATAAAGACAAGAACCTAGAGGACCTCATACAAAAATGCATATAAAAGAGAGCAGGAAGTCAATCTATTCAATATTTTGATCACAACAGAAGCCAGCAATCTAACCAGTCCAGCAGCTTTTTTATGCCAGTCACCATTGCTGCCTTAAAACCAACCACAACAACACATCCACTATCTGGATCAAACATGATACTCTCCCAATCTACAATTTTACTGCATTAGTTTTAATTAAGACTTACTCATACTGCCATCATACTCAGAAAACCCACATACAACCCACAGCTCCTTACGCCGCATGCTCTCCAGCACATTTCAGATCCCATCCACCCACTCCAGGCACCTTTGGATGACCTTTCACTTTCCTCCACTCTGCTCCCTAGTGAAGGGAACGCTGCTATTCACAGATCTTTGGCAATCAGCACAGTAATTTACATCTCAAGATAACAACTGCAAATGCACTGACTAACCGCCAATATTCTTGTAATCTGAATTAAGCCTGAATCCACCTGGCTTTTCTCTTGGTTATGATACAATCAGCCTAGAAATACTGGCAGTATTTCACACCTTGAAAATTTTCTTGAAAATTAAGAGACCTTTGTTGGTTTGCACCAGTGAGGTATGCAACAGACTTGCCTTGTTCCCTTCAGAAATAAGGCACTTAAACCACTTCACGAACTTTATAACAATTTCTGGATAACAGATTTCAGGGGGAAAAAAAAAAATGTTATTTATTATCCTGGGTACACATCTGAAGAACGATCACAGCGCACACAACGCTCACTTCTGATGAATGAGCGACGGTCGCTTTTGTAAATTCCTCACCGGTACACAGAGACTTTAGCACAGTGGAGACAGGAGGCCAGTCGGTGCAGCCAGCTATAACAGCTGCACTAGGACTTCCAGTTTACTTTCAAAACAGCTTCCCCAGACTGCCATGGGGGAGGAACCGATTTGCAAGAGTAAAGGATCAGGAGACGTTTTCAATCACATCAAGAAGTTTCAAAAGCTGTTAACTTCAGAATCGGCAGCAAGGTGTGAGATGTTCCTCCAGTGCTATTCCTACCGTGAAAGGCTCTTTTAGGGTCTTTATAGGAGATAACAGCAAGCTCCCCAGCTCTGCCCATCACTGAAAAAAAAAAGACTCTAGTCCCATTAACTCAGCTCTTAAGTGCAGGCAAGCTCACGTTTGCTCCGGAAATAAACCCGTCTGTTGCACTGGCTCTTAGACCGGGTAAATTCGGATATTCCCCTTACAGCCGAGGGGGAAACAGGACCAGCAGTCGGTCCCGCTGGACCGACAGTGCCCTCTCCCGCTGCAGCGGGGCGGCTGTCAACCGGAGTGCCGGAGCCTCGGGCAGCGCACGGCTCTGACAGGGTGCCCGGGACTGGCCTACCTCCCGACTGCCGCGCTGAAGGGGACCCTCCCGGCGCTGAAGCAGAGGTTACCGGGCGGCTTCACACTCAGCATTACGCACCGCGGCCGGAGAGCACCGAACTACTTCCAGAACTTCTTCCCCTTAGCTTTTAGGGGCAGGCGGCACACTTTGTGGTTCTCGGCCACGTAAACACAAGCGGGCACCGGAGATGGTGCCAAACCCTGCCCGCGGACTTTACACCGACCCGGACACTCGGCCGCGCGGGGGGAACCGAAGCGAGAGGAGACGGGGCCGGGGAGGGGAGCGCAGAAAGCCCGG